ATATCATATGAGTCTCAAAATTGTACGTACAATTTTTAACTTTAGTTTTGAGAAAGTATATGGAATAATTATCAACAAACTGAAAGCGATCGTTTCAACCGACACCCTTTCACGTTTATAACTGTTTTCAATGCGTCACAGTGAGTGGTGGTGGCAGTGTTTACGCCTTTTCCACACGTCTCCGGAATTGAATTGCTTTCATCCGCAAATTGTATTTTACGCCGAACACAGATTAAGTCTACTAGTGTCCATACGTATCCGGAGATTTTCGAAATGTCTTTGAGGAGGTGCTGAATGAATGAAAACCCCTCCAAGAGAAAATAAGTTAAGTTATAAAATAACTTTCATATTACGCGCGCTCTGATTGGCCAAAAAGCCGTGTTTGATGAGAGCATAATACACTCTCGCGTCATTTTTTTTTCTCGGCTTTTTTTTCTCATGAATATTTGAGCGCTTAATTTGTTATTTTATAAAAGCAATAAAAACAGTTTTCCGCGTATTATAGACTACTCTGATAAAAACACTTGGGATGTGGRGAGAACACGAGAGAAGCGTAGAAAACCACGACGCGAAGAGTATAATACTCGGAAAACTGTTTTTATTCCTTAAATTTTTCCGAAGAGCCACAAATCCGATGTAGAAACTCGTGTGCTCCCGGTAAACAGTCGCTTAATTATAATTCGGTTGCTGCCCGGCCAATGACCATAATTATTTTGGCAAGTTGAAAAAAACGATATCCCGAACGTTGAGAAACAATTCATATCCAATTTAGAAATAAGTAAGCTGTATATAAAAAAGAACCTTTGTCGACCTGAATGCCTTATTTTATTTCGACCAAAAATGTTAACAACGTGTTTATAATAAACGATTTATTTCGTATTTCAATAAGAATTATCATATTTACATCAACACTGTGCAAATTAAGGTTTTCTTTTAATTTCTTTTCGGTTTTTTTCCGATTTTTTTCGAGCAAGCAACAGTAACTTTCAACAATATATTCAATTTGTTTTGAAAATAGCAAAACAAGAATTAAACTTTTTTGCTTGTATATTCATAATGCGTGTTCACAAAATTACACTAGGATCAATATAATATTTATACCAAAGACGATTTCTGATATTCGCGGGCGCTTTCAAAAGATATCGCAGTCGCAAACATGGAAATGAGGTATTTTCGAGAAAATATATAAGCGAGTTGTGGAACAGTGATCGAAAATACTTGTGATGTTTTTGAAAGGAATAGTTTCTCACAGAAATGGTCTACTCTTACAAAATCAATATCATTCCAATCTCAAACATCTTGACGTCTCAAAAATCATTTTGTAAAATTTTTGATATATAACGCACGCTCTGATTGACTGACGACCGCGTTTATATCAGAGGAAAGTGACACGGCTTACCGGCAAAATTTGTTTTATCTCTCAAAAAACGCAGAATTAAAAATTGTATAAAAGAACTATAAAACGACCGCTTGTGTCTCTGTCCTCTGATGTAAACACGGTGGCACTCGAAGCTTCTCTCGTGTTTTTCAACTCGCATCGTGTCTGGGTATATATCTGAGAACAGACACGCGTCGTTTTATATTCCTTAAGTATAACACGCTTACTGATAACACACGATACTATGGTGCTGTTACACTGGGCAGTTTTTAAAGCAACTTGTCTTGCAGCGCCGTTGTGATATAAGCTGCCGAGAAAATAACAGCCCTGTTTGCCACTATCTCTTTAGCCGAGGTAAGCTGGGAAATCCAATTCAAGATGGCGGACATTAGAAATAGGATTTGCACTCCATGCTCTAATGGCATGTGTGACAGTGGCTTGAGATACACTTCGCAATGGCGTTGCAAGTTGAGGCAATGCATAAAGAAAAGTATATATACACGAGTTACGTACGCTGCACGCAAAAACCAAAGTTGTGAGACAACCCCAGCCTGCAAATTCGCCGCAACAATCGGGCTGCTTACCCGCGTACGATTTTAGTTGCGCGATAGCAAAGTGGCGAAAATAAAGCCCGAGAAGGAAGGTACTGTTAGTTCTGGCTGCGGCGGAGGGCAAGGCCAACGACGGCTTTCATTAAAAAATACTATAGAAAACCTTCTTCTTCTTCAAACTTTTTCATGAGTATTTTTTCTGCTTCTCTAATCCCACTGAGATATGCTCCAGTTACAGTCTGTGGAAATTGTCGATTTGTAGCCTGCAAAAGGAAACAATCTTGTTACTTGAGACAAAACAATGGTGTACACTACTGTTAGACAAAGATTATGATTTGATGAAATAACAAAGAGAGACAATACAAAAACAATAGGCATTGTCTGACATAATCCACCAATTCTTTGTTTTTGCTGTCTCGATCAATCACAGGCTTTTTTCTGACGGTATTGATCGACCCAAAACCATGAACAGTTAGTTCAACGCCATCTTGAAATGCAGTCAAGGCAAAAGGACCGGCGAGTATACAAATCAGTACTGCGGCTATAGGGGAAGCACGCCCCCTACCGCTACCACTTCCTAGCCCCAATTTGATGTTTTCAAAATTACTGCAGCCCTCAAATGAACAAGAGTGCCAAGTCATATCAAAACTATGTTTTTTCACCAACAAAAATTATTTTCCTAACATTGCAAAAGGATAAACAAGCTCAACAATAACGTTTTGGGATTTTTGCCCGATTTTCCCTCGCTTTGATGCAAAATCACAGGCTTCTCCGAACTAACCGCGAAAAGTGTTATTCAACAATGAGAAAGCGGCAGAATTCCTACCTCTCCTGCAAAGAATAACTTGTCTTCTAGGGATTTAGCAATCTCATCATAATCTTGTCCAGTGGAACCAAGAGGAACAAATGAATAGGCCATACCAGAATAGGGATCCTGCCCCCAATGACTTACTATGTATTTATCTGGCTTTGGCATTGTCTAATAAAGAAAAATGACAGTGAATAGATCCATTTCCGATGTCGATCCATTTCCAGTATCGTCACAAAGAGCAAAATCAATTCCAGTAACTGCTGCACCGAGCTTGAATTCGGTCTGTGGAAATGGACAGCAGGTCATATTGTATGGAGGGTGAATAGCACTATCAACCTGATAAATCCTTATCGACCAAATAAAATCCATACTAAATCTAAGGAATAATATTAAAAATACGAGCTTTGAAGCAGTCACTCAAAAATGTTTTCATAAACGCTGTCTGGTAATGGGGGTAGTATTGCCAACGTTAAATGTAATTAATCTCGCCAGTTTTAATCAACTGCTTCAAGTTCGTATTTTTATTAAAGCCTTCCTGATGTCATTGTCATTATTGTAAGAATTGAGCTTTTATAATTAAAAGACGCAACTATGAAATGAAGGAATGTTTTACCATTCAATTAAGTACTTTATAGAGAATCAGCTCACACAGAATCAGCAATAGTCTTCTTCACGGTACCCTGCGCCATCTTGAAAGGTAGCCCACGGTCAACGGTCGTCTCGCTTCGATGTAAGGTACAACTACCTTTCGAGATGGCGCGGGGAACCATGAAGGAGACTATTATTATGYCAGGCATTATAAATACTACCAAGCCACCATTAAGGTTGCTATGGTGATGATTACTATGAYGATTATCACCTTAATACTAACCTCACCAGGAAACAGTCCTTTTAGTAAATCTAACACATGCTGAACTATTTGTATATCACTCATACTTGACGCTTGKAGTGCCAGCTCTCCTGTTAGTACTGTCATAAGAACATGACTCTTCTTAGGGGTCGACTGAAAATGAAAATGAGAAAATGAAATAAACAAACATAGGTGAGATGGAAAGTATGAAAGGAATGAAAAGGGAAAGATGGAAAGAAGGAAATAAAATCATGGAGTACAGTGATGGGCAGCCTGTGTAGCAAGGGCAACTTTGGCTGGGAAGTTGGACAAAAGAGAAAAAAAAATTGTTTTGTTTTTGGTTAACAGTGTCAGTGGAGAATATGTGACTGCAAAACATCTACGGTCGTACGATCACCAAAATCGTCCAACTTGCTTTGCAGCAAAATCTCTGCAAAACAAGTTTGAAAGGGATGATGCTGCGCGTTTTACTACTGGCGGAGGAAATCGTCTCGCATCAAAAGTTGAGCGAATGCTTATTTCTGATTGGCATATGCCGTCAGCTGATTGTCGCGCGACGTCATTTTTTACACACAGCATTGACAGATTTTGTTGAAAAAAGTAGACGATCTTCTACTTTCTGCAACACGCTTTTTCAACCTGCAACAAATTATTTTGCTGCGAGACAAGATGGTTCGCCGGTAGCAGTACGCGCAGCATTCCTTGACGATTTTGCTTCCGTGTTAGCGTAGGTTTAACGGCTACAAATCACAATGGAATGAAATCAGATTTTTCCTCTTTTGCTACCTCTTTCTCTCTCTCAAAAACGTTTTTTAAAATGAATGTTTTTCATCCTTCTTTTGAAAATAAGTTTATTATCCCTCTCCATTTGAGGTACAGGAGATGTGGAAGAAGGGGAAGATAAATAAAAGAAATGAAATACTAAAATGTCAGTATTGACTGCTTACTTTTCTACTTAAGTCATAAAAAATCCCACAACTTCCTCTGTTACTACTAGATGACGGAACACGCCCAAAGAAATCTGAACCACCAGTTTTCTTACTCCAGAAATTCCGTGAAAACTTCAAAGCAACCTGAAAATATCATCAAATAAWATAGAAATGATTAATTTCAAGAAATTGATACTTCGCGACGTGCTGAACACATCTTATAATTCCGCCTGTAAAAACCTATTTTTTCCATACAACGTGGGTTCATGTCCAGCTGCAAAGGGCAAACATAGTCCTATGGTCATGCAATCGCCTTCCGACAATCGCCGTTCACCGTTATCCCTGACAACGTTTTTTGATATAAGTGTATACAAACAGCAGTATTGACTGACCTTTTCTATGAGACCAGCTCCAAGGTTGGCTATTGCATTTTTTTTCTCTATGGGAAGTTTTGGGGTGAATTCAACCATCTCAGACTTTAAAACAGCCAATGGTAAGGTAACAATAACCTAGAAATTACAGAAAACAAGTTATCTTGATCAGGGATAAAACACGTCAAGAATTCAAATAATGGGTGTCAATATTCATGGTTCCCTTCGCCATCTTGAAAGGTAGACGACCATTAAGTGTGCAATAACCTCTCACACGGTTGCCTTGCTTCAATGTAAAGGCACAGCTACTTTACAAGATGGCGAAGAGAACCGAGAAAGAGACTATTGGGGCTTGCCCTGTTTCCATCTCCTTACCCTTACGATATTGTAAAATGTACTTGTGAGTGTATACACCTAATTGAAGAAACGTTGTCGGGTCCAAAAAGGTCAAATCATAGAAGCTAAGACTGAAAGGGTACTTGGGAAGACAAACAATTTGGCTAATTTCATACAAACAGCTCTCCATCATAAATGACTAGCATGCTGTTAATCTTACTGGCTCTACTTGATTTACGGTACACCGTATATGCAAATGTACTTAAAATCCCTTTCGGTCTTAGCTTCTATGATTTGACCTTTTTGAACACGACTACGTTTTTTCAATTAGGTGTAGTGAGACCTAGAATCACAATTATAACATAAAATAAAATCAGGACCTCAACAGCAAACTATACATTTAGAAGCGTATTTTAACAGCTCATCTCCACAAGTATGTTATGATGTTAGTCCGCAATAGTCCCCATCACGGTTCCCTATACACCATCTTGAAAAGTAGTTGTGCCTTTTTATCTAAGCAAAACAACAACTAAGCGTGCAGTGATAGATACCAAAGCTGTGAAAAACTGGTGGGAACTAGCGGTAAACTAGTGTGAGCTGCGTCGGTGTTTCTAAAGAAACAGTTAATATGTAAAAAGATAAATTTAACACCGTAAAAAAGTATGTGAAATAACTTACTGACGTTCCGGACGTTAATCTTTCGTCGGAGTAAAGAGAGCGACGAAGAGACTCTGACGAAGGATTAACGTCCGAAACATCAGTAAGTTATTTCACATACTTTTTTTACCGTGTTAAATTTATCTTTTTACACAGCTGTGAAAAACTGTCCGTAGACGTGAAAGAAGATTCCTATCATTGAACGCTCAACATTTGTTTCTATTCCGCGCTAAGGCACAGCCACCTTCAGGGAACCATGAAGGAGACTATTTCATGAGTTTTGTGACTATGTAGCATTGCTTCCTGTGTCCTCTAAAAGACGTGTTGTCAAAATCATATTTTACCTTATCTGCAGTGAATAGTGAACCATTTTTGGTGTATATAGTAACTTGATCTTGACTATAATCTATCCTTGTCACCTGACAGGAGTTAATTCACAATTAATGCATGGGAATTTATTAAGACTATCAAAATTATTGGACAAGTTGAGGTATGTGTGATATGAAGAATTACTGGTTGAAGCTGAGTTTGATATGAAGAATTATTGGTTGAGACTGAGTTTGATATGAAGAATTATTGGTTGAGGCTGAGTTTGATATGAAGAATTATTGGTTGAAGCTTAGTATGATATGAAGAATTATTGGTTGAAGCTGAGTTTGATACGAAGAATTATTGGTTGAGGCTGAGTTTGATACGAAGAATTATTGGTTGAGGCTGAGTTTGATATGAAGAATTATTGGTTGA